ATCACTGGCTGATGCTGCAGAATTCAAGAAAGGCTCTGCTGCTAGTATAGGAACCCATCAGAATTAAATGAAAATAGGAGAGAACCTGCTCATTCTTTTGTGCTTGAAGTTGTTTCGTTGCAACAAAGTCTTCACTGGAAAAGGTGTTCCAATTCGGTTGTTAAAAGCACGAAATCTAGTAGGAAACTTATATTTTGGTTAGGTACGGTACCTTTGTGATGAACCTTGTAACTGAAAACGACTTAGCTTCATCTTCGTTCCTTTAATCGGTGGATCACATGATCTTGTGTTTTTTGCCCTGATTCGGTGTGAAGTTTAGGACATATTCTTCACGATAATTGTAGTGATTTTTATACCTGGGAATTTATTTCTTCCAAAGGCGTACTGAGAGAGGTTGCCTTACACTCCAGTCCGAAGTATGATTTTTACTTTGTTAGTTGTGATTATTAACTCTCTTCACTAGACATTAACTAATGTTTGTCGTACCACTAAACGGTTAGCGATGTTGAGGAGTTAAGTGAATATCTTAATCTCGTTCGATCTTATTGAAATGTAACATTTTTAGGTGCGAGGTTTTCAATATTGCACGTACGACATGTTTTAAATTTGCAGTCTTTGTATTGAATGTGAATATTTTATGTCCGCGTGTTAGAAGGCGTATGTTACAAATTATATTAAATGATTTGTTGTCAGCCATAGTTTTACCCATGGTTCCATATTATGCACGGGTTTTTCTTTTATCGTGAGGATTATAATGCAAATTTTGTCGAAGTAAATGGACCGCATTGTTGGTCATTTAAATTAGGTAGCCTGAATAAAAGTTAAAGCAAAAAAGTGATGATATACTATTGTACAGCTCCCTGATTGCAAATAGACTAGATAAACAGCTCTCTTCTTTCCTACGTTATGATACTGATTTTTTCAAGTGGCATTTGTAAAAAGATCAGCAAATTTTTTCTTGAATCTTGGTTTTGTGTATAACTGTTTTGAATTCAGATAATTTATTTATGTTGTGCAATAATATTGACGTTTGACATGAAAGTCGTAGATTTTCTCCCTTAAATTGTACAAAGCATGGCCATTTCAACATTCTCAATATGCGTACTGTATCGCTGGTTGTACAAAATTCATAATCTTTCCCTTACTAGCGTTTAAATCCTAATCAAATTTTGTTTAAGACTGTATCGAGCTTGTTTGAAATTTATGTTATTTTCCTTATTCAATTATATTTTGATGCCAGTAACAAATGCTATAAATTGTTTGATTTGCAGAAGGTTTATTTTAGTTGGCGAGAAGCACACCTGAAGCGGACGGGATATGATTTGATCGTTAAATTGTTTGTTGTTTCCTGTTTTGGTTTTTTATGCGATTTATGGTTATGCTCTTTCATTAAAAATTTGCAACAATGCAGTTTTGACTTTGATGTACTTATCGATCTTTTGTATGACTGAAATATTGACTGGAATATTTTGATTTTTCAGTAGGTCTTATGGTCCACACAACAGTTCTTGAAGATTAGATCATGTCTTGCTGCGCATGCGTGCATAATGCCTTGCTCCGCAACCTTTCAGGTCACGCATTTCCCGGATTGCGTAGTCTGTAGGTGGTTATCGTATTCGGTTCGTTTCATACTTTCATGCTATTTGTTATAATTAGCGTGTTCCCAATCGTGATTCAACAGCGGTTCACTAAAAGAACGTCAAAGCCTCCACCCTGGTGGATAACACCAACTACAGGTATATTATCTTTTAATAATGACTGACTACTACTGTTGGCAAAGATTTCTACATGTTTATTAACAGATCAGTTTATTCTGTGTAGGGTTAAGATGAGAAATACTCATAAAATTAGAATATAATATACGGCTTTCGCCAGTGGCATTACATAAGTATGATTGACCAACTATTTGGTTTGCCAGAATTGACCATCACAATTCATCGGATATTAGCCACTTTATATCCATACTTGATTTCATGTCCATCGTTGTACACATAAAAAATGCACGTACCTTTGGCAGTTGCTTCATACAGGTTGTACAGCACAGCGCCGTGACGCTGCTTAGCTTCCATGAACTGCTAGTAAACACCGTGGAGCTGTCGCCTCAAAATTCCCGAGAAGTCATTCTCGTCTGTAACAGTTTCTTTTTCGACAGCTTTGTCATTCGGACGATGTAGAGCCTACCAACATAAGTACGGCACTGTAATAGGTCATCCATGGTTCCAACGGTTCTACGGGGCATACAAAATATTACCGTTGTATTCTATCCTCTGATGCAACCAGTTCTAAAGATTATGCTGAATATTGCTGCTACTCTACGCACCCCGTCAATTAGAGGCTGATGAAAGTGCATAATTGCAAATGCGCAAATTTGGGGCATTTCATTTAATTAAGACTTGGCGCGATGAGAAGATGTGCTCATAGAGTGAAGGTGTTTCATACGTTTAGGTTTGAGCTATGTCTTACTGACCTCAATATACTCGTAAAGGTTTTAATTTGACCCTGAGTAATTCTGCACACCTGGCGCCATTGCGATGGTTGATTATCTGATTTTTTCTCTATGCTACTGAAACAAATTTTGTTCGCTTTTGAACATGCATGATCGTGTGAACATACTAACATTTCATTTCATTTGAGGCGTATCATCGAGCCTTTCAACACGACGAATTCTCATTATCGTCAGTGTAAAATGTCCGTTGGATTATTTTGAGCTGTGTGTATAAGTGGAACATCTCTGGTTAGTGATATCCGTTGTATTCGCAACTTTTCAACAGTTGCGGTAATTCAGTAGCTGCAGCAACGTAGAAGGAGCAGTTCTTCTCTGAAAGCAGATTTATCTCGATCTTGCTTTTCCAGGTTTTATAAAAATTATGTCATATTGACATTTCGACTCAGTGACATTATGTCGAATTTTGACAGCACCGAACGTCAAACTTTCGTAAAAGTTCGCCAAATGCCACTCATGATATTAGCATCATGGAATATTATACCGGCTTGGTCGTCGCCCGGCATACCAAGGACCGTGCAGGCTGTTGGGGGACTGAG